AAATAAAAGGGGTGCAAGGAAAGCGCCAAAGACATCTGGTTCCAGAAAGCAATGTAACGCTCAAGGACTAATGGGGTGTGTAAAAAAGGCCTGTGGGCCAGCTTAAACGGGCTCCTACCAGCCAAATTTGGGACATCTGGCGCACCGAGCGTTAACAACTGAAATTGATTATAACATATTATGTAAATAAAAATACCTGAATCCAGTGATACTACGAACAGTGGGAGAAGGGTTCAAAACTAAAGTTCCTCTTTACAGTAGCATGCCACAGCTAAACAAAGAATGAGAGAATCAGAAAATCACCACTTTCCATAAATCATGTCACAAATGATTCCATCAAGGATTATCAGCGAATACCAAAACATCAGGTGAAAGGTTGTGGTTGGACAGGATTTTCACAGCATCAAAGATCACATACTACTTGTAAGGGAAAAAATTCACTCCTACAACTGACATCTGGGTGTAATCATGAAAATAAGTGCCCATCAATGGTTGAATGGATAAAGAAAATGTGGTATGTGTGGGTGGGGGTAGAGGGCAAAAGTAGGTTTGCAGTAGTTCATATGGAAAATAATACAATAATTAAATAATAATACAAGAATAAACTGTGTTTGGCAGACTCACAGCAGTCAACCTACTGTTACCCACCATGGGTGTATGAGTGTGTGTGTGTAATGGAATGTTATTTAGCCATAAGAACAAATGAAATCTTACCATCTGTGACAACCTCAATGGACCTTAAGAGCATTCTGATAAGTGAAAAGATAAATACCACATGATCTCAATTACATGTGGAATCTAATAAAATATCAAGCTCATAGATACAGAACAGATTGGTCATGGCCAGAGGCCGGGGAATGGGAGTAAAAATGGGTGAAGGGGGTCAAAGGTACAAATTCCCAATTATAAAATAAGTCACGGGGATGAATGTAGAGCATGGTGACTACAGTTAATACTGTATTGCATATTTGAAAGTTGCTAAGAGTAAGTTAAAAGTTTTCATCACCAGAAAAAACTGTAACTAGGTACGGTATAGATGTTAACTACACCTGTTGTGGTGACCATTTTGCAACATATACAATATCAAATCATTATATTGTACAATGCGTGTCAATTATACCTCAATTTAAAAAATCATAATCTCAAAAGAGGTTATGCTCTGAAAAATTAAGATCTGAGAATCTTTAAACATTCATTGAAAAGTTAGGTTTTAATGAAATACAATTTTTAAAATACTGATTTCTCTATGCAAATATATACTTAAAAACATTGGATCACCTGTAGTGCACTTACAAATAAGTCCAACTAATTTCTACAACTCAGATTAAAATGATTAAAAAGTAAAGTCTGGCCAGTGTGGCTCAATGGTTGAGCATCAACCTATGAACCAGGAGATCGCAGTTCGATTCCTGGTCAGGGCCCCTGCCTGGGTTGCCAGCTCGATCCCAGTGTGAGGTGTGCAGAGGGAGCGGATCAATGATTCTCTCTTATCATTGATGTTTCTATCCATCTCCCTTCCCCTCTGAGATCAATAAAAAAATACATTTGAAAAAAAAAAGAGAGAAAAGTCCTTATGTTATTTAGTACTATTGAAATGTTGAGGAAACTATTAAAAACAAACCCAATAAAAATCTGGTGAATTTTATCACTTCTTCTGAAACCACACAGATTAAGAAGAGGGTGAAGAGAAGAAAAGTAACAGAAATACTGTGCACTCCAGTTCTAAGTGCTGCTGAAGGTGAAGATGGGGAGGAAGCTCATGGCAGACACCCCACCAGCAATAGAAGGAGTCTGCACAGGACCAGCAGGCGCCCAGCAGTGGACGATCTTTAAAATCTCTTACAAATATGTATTACCTTATAGACAGAGTACACTTTGAGGGAGCTGAGGGTTCACTTGCTTAGAGGAGGAGGAGAAAGAAGATTCAGAAAAGACTCTAAAGGAGCAGATACCAGGAAGCACCAGGAAAAAGAAAACACCCTGCCCAACTGGCACAGCTCAGTGGCTGAGCGTGGGCCTATGAACCAGTAGGTCATGGTTCGGGTCCCGGTCAGGGCACAAGCCTGGGTTGCGGGCTCAATCCCCAGTAGGGGGGTGTGCAAGAGGCAGCCAATCAATGATTTTCTCTCATCATTGATGTTTCTATCTCTCTCTCCTCCCTTCCTCTCTGAAATCAATAAAAATATATTTAAAAAAACAAACACCTAATAGTGAGTGCATTACCTTGGAGGGCAAGTTTATGAAGAAAAAAAATTGGAGCCCTCCTGACCCAGATTACCTAATGAGGGGAAAAGGGGAGGTGGGCAAAGGATATTTAAGAAAATCATCCTTTTGGTAGCAACAGAGAAATTTAAAATTTTTTAAATTAAAATTTTAATTTAATTTAAAAAGTGTAACCATGTTATGAGAGGAAGAAACAAACTCAAAAGGGAACACTAGGGGTTGAAACATTTCTAGATTTTAGAAGAGCTGCCACGTGGTTCAGAGGACATAACCAGAGAGCGAATGGTGGTTATCTGGAGACAGATTTTAAGACAGATAAAAGAAGAAATATGCCCTAACTGGTTTGGCTCAGTGGATAGGGCGTCAGCCTGCGGACTGAAGGGTCCCAGGTGCAATTCCGGTCAAGGGCATGTACCTTGGTTGCAGGCACATCCCTAGTAGGGGGTGTGCAGGAGGCAGCTGACCAATGTTTCTCTCTCATCGAAGTTTCTAACTCTCTCTCTCCCTTCCTCTCTGTTAAAAAATCAATAAAAAATATATATATTTTTAAAAAGAATAACAGTCACTCCCAAAGATGAAATACAGGCACACCTCAGGGATACTACCAGTACTGTTCGCAATCATCACAATAAAGTGAGTATCACAATAAAGCAAGGCAGTCTCTTTGCTGCTGGAGGGTCTTGCCTTCCATTAAAAAAAAAAGCCACATCTGTGAAGCACAATAAAGTGCAATAAAATGAGATATGACTGTCAATTTCCTCAGAATGTGGTAAAGTTCCTAGAGAAAAAAGATATTACCTGGTAAAGAACCTACCTCTTCTTTGTACATCTGAGTAGCAAATATAAGTAAAGTTGGTGACATACTATAGTTTCACTAACAGCATTACCAATGTAGGATTGAGGAAAACAAATGTGGAAGAGAAAGTTGGTTCGTCAATGGATATAGGAAATGAGTATCTTTAAACCAGTCTATCAGTGTCCCACTTCAAAAATCCATGCATGTACACATATATCCACACACACTCCACAAATATTTGGTACTCTACTATTTTGTCTGAGACTGTCGTCAGCAGCAGGATACCAGAGAAGCTGCTACACATGAGATATGTTTACCACGTAGAAAGTCCCAAACTAAGAAAAATGTAGGAGCCCATATGCTTGCATTTATACATGTGACTTCTCACTTTGCTACCTCAAACATTTTTTTGAAAAAGTTTTTTTTATTATCTATCTTTATTGCAAAAATACTATGTTACAATTCCTCCTACAGTAAAGCACTCATATAAATCATATCAGAGTGAATAATCTTTTAAATAGCATGACTTTTATGTCAACCTTAAGAGAAACTTTGCACGTGCTTTGGATAGAAATGAAAGGATAGATGGAGTTTCATACATGGGTCAGTCTGCATCACAGTGAAGGTAAGAGCAATGTATGCAGCAGGGCAAGAAGGAAGGATCCAATCAGACAATCAGAAACGACTGCCAATCGATCTCATGACAAAAGGTCAATCTGCTGCCTCACTCTACACATTTCTGGTCCTTTTGTGTTTCTTTTACAAAGGTGGAAAAATGCAGACCACTGTCTGTAGTAAAAGCTCAGTTATTTTACCTATACACACACACACAAAAAATCAGATTTTGAAGGGAACTCTTTGAAGTGACAGATAACCAGCTGGATACTAAAAGCCTCAGAGCAAAAAGGAAGTTTGAAAAGTTCTAAGCATGAAGGAGTCACACTGTGCAGTTTACTGAGAAAATTCAATCTGTGGGGCTGGTGCACCATCTGGTGACCATTCAGGGCCTATGCGTCAAAATTGCCTGGATATTTCTGGATATTTTAGGATGCCAGCACAACCTACAACAATTTGCAGGTCTTTCTGAAATTTTTTTTAAAAAAGGATTTGACCTAATTGTGATGAAACACAGGGAGCAGTTAAGATGACAATAAAGAGTAAAATATTTCTCACATAGTACCTCGAAGGAATAAAATGCTCCTCCCCCCATACGACACCAACTTGAAATATAAATACAACTATTTATGCACTTTTCACATGTCAAAATAAAAATTTTAATGATAGCATTCTGTAAATCATAATTAACAATACTTGGTTATTGCGAAAGATTTGAGTGTATACACCAACAGAATTGCTTTGGGGATTCATGCATTTTAGCCACAGAAATATACACATTTTCCCCCATGCATTTTTTTTTTTATCAGTGTTACTTGTTGCTGCTACTGTAGTATAGCAACTAGAAGTTTCCCAATTGATTACAGAGTCACAAACATTTACTAAACCAAGCTTTTTACCACCACTTTCAGCAACCATGCTGAAACAGAAATTCCAGAATTACTAAATGAAAACAAGAAAGTGAATACAAAGATGTCGTACACATCCTCAGAGGTAATAATGTTTACTTTAATTCTTTCTCAATCTAGCCACAAGATTTTTCCCTTAACTCCAACTGAGAATTTATATTTAACTCTTTCAGGACAAGAAAGCCTAAAACGCTTGAAAGTGCTCTACCTTACATCAAGCTTACTTCACCGAATAAACTCGGCGTGGGATTTCCTTCACCTTTTTTGGAAAGGGAAAGTGGACAAGAATGCCGAATGCCCCCCAAAACTGCGTAATAGATAGGAATTTAAGCCACAGATCTGCCCCCACCTCCTAGGAAGGAAAACAAAGTCACACAAACATCTCAACAAAACCAGGAGGGCAGAGGCCTCTCCAGCGCCTGGCGGGTCCAGGGAAGACAGGGGCGGCCTGTACTCACACAGATGGCGAGAGCTCCTGCCCCCATCCTCGCAGAAGTGGCTAGTAGAACAGATGAAGCCCAGATGCAAACATCAAAATGACAGCAAAATACTGAAATTCCACCCAGTGGAGATGCTTTGATTTGAAAACCAGCTTCCAATCCGGAGGCCTCACCGTACGCCCAGAGCAGCTCCTAACATTTTCGGAAGTGTGGTTGTGCTTCTCTTTCGGTTAAACCCACATGGCTGGGAGGACTGCCTGCAGTTGAAATTTGATCCACAGCCTCTAGTATTGGCAAGGACAGGGAGTCATGTGACATGAGTCTTAAGTCCTGACATCTTTTCTAAAACCTGACTTGTTAGATGCCACCCAGACCGGCTTCTTCCTTTTGTAAAATGCTGATTAGCTAGTGGTATTCATTAACAGAACCAACAGTGCACAAAGCGAAAACACCAACTTGCTTCCTTGTTGCAACCCATTTCTAAGAAAAATTCACACATTTACACTCAGGTTTCCATCTGCAGGCATATTCCTTACTTTTTGGAGGCAGATTTCACTTCTGTAGCCCCCTAGAAACCAGTGAAATTCTATCAAAATCTTCCCTCCACTCTATTCTGTAAGACTTGTCCTTCGTGAAAATGCCCTGTTTTGTGTAGCTGTTACTTTACTGCTTCTAATTACTTTCAAATAATCTTATTCACGTGTACCAGTGATAAGCATAAAACAACATGCTTCCAGACATCCATATTTCTAACTGGCCTCTTCCAGGAGCTTCCTACTCCACAGGCTGCGTCATAGAAAGTATGACAGATTTTATAAGTTCTAAATATTTGAACTAGTAGCTAAAATATCCATTTCATATAAGTCAGAAGGAAACTGTACGATTTTTAGGACAAAAAAAGTAGGGGGTGACCCTGGCCAATGTGGCTCAGTTGGCTGAGTGTCATCAGTGCACTGAAAGGTTGCCAGTTCGATTCCTGGTCAGGGCTCATGCCCAGGTTGCAGGCTCAATCCTCAGTGGTGGTGATGGTAGTGGGAGTGGAAGGCAATTGATGGATGTTTTTCTCTCACATTGATATTTCTATCTCTCCCTCTGCCGTCCTGTCCTCTCTAAAAATCAGTAAAAACATTTAAAAAAAAAAAAAAGTAGGAGGTGGGTGGAGGTGGAAGAAGTAGTAGTATAAGGGGGATAAGTGGTGATGGAAAAAATAAAATTAAAAAGAAAAAATGTAAAAAATTTTCTACTTTTACCTTAATACAGATTTTATCACTTCTGTTTCCTATTCACCCATTAGAAAACTAGGCTGATCAGTAAAGAAAATGATCATAAAACAACCTTTTTCAAATACTTTAAAATTTTGTCTTCTTTTTCTGATTATATAAGTATTGCCAGTCCATGATGAAAAGTAAAAGCCTAAAGGTTAGGTCACCTAAAGACAATCATCCAATCAGTATTTATTTATTACCTACACTGGGCAGGCACTATGCTATGTCATGTACAGAAAATGATAAGAAAGGCATGATACCTTCTCTCATGAATTATTTAATGGGAAAAGAAGGAATAAAAATAAGTTAACAAAAGTAAGTATATACATCTTTTTGATTAGTAAATGGAATGGTGCTAATAAAGGAGCAAAGATGAAAGTAGTGAAGAATAACTGAGGACAACCAGTAACATTTAACCTATCTACGCCCAGTCTCTTTTCTATACTTAAAAAAACAAACACAACAATTTCTAATAATTTTCTATCCTAACTTTTTTGCACTTCACATTTATCAGAGGCATGCTTACATACTGTTAAATGCTATAAACAATTTTAATCACATGTAATATTGGATTCTTTAGTCATTCTCCCATTTTTATTTTATTTTTTAAAATATATTTTATGATTTCAGAGGGGAAGGGAGAGGGAGAGACAGAAACATCAATGATGAGAGAGAATCATTGATTGGCTGCTTCCTGCACGCCCCATACTGGGCATGTGCCTTTGACTGGAATCGAACCCGGGACCCCTTAAGTCCATAGGCTGACGCTTTACACATTGAGCCAAACTGGCTAGGGCCATTCTCCCATTTTTAGACATTTACACAGTTTATGATTTTTTTGTGTTTAGTTAGTAACACTTTGTCCTTATCCTGATATTTTTCTAATAGAGACTCCTGAATGTGAAAGCTCTGGGTCATAGAGAATAGGAACCTGGCTCAGGCTCCTGACATACACTAACTCTGGCAGTTTATCTTCTACAACCCACCCTACCCAAATTTGAGTATTTTATAAAATATTTAATATTTCTTAATGAAAATATTTCTCATTTTAAAAGTATTTCTCTGTATTATAATACTAGAGGCCGGGTGCACAAAAATTTGTGCACTCGGGCGGGTTCCTCAGCCCAGCCTGTGCCCTCTCGCAGTCTGGGACCCCTCAGGGGATGTCCACCTGCTGGCTTAGGCCTGCTTCCCAGGGTATCGGGCCTAAGCTGGCAGTCAGACATCCCTCTGGCAGCCTGGCAGCCCTCGGGGGCTGTCAGCCTGATTGTGGCTGAGCAGAGCTCCCCCTGTGGGAGCGCACTGACCACAAGGGGGCATCTCCTGCATTGAGCATCTGCCCCCTGGTGGTCAGTGTGTGTCATAGTGACCAGTCATTCCCAGTTGTTCTGCTGTTAGAGTCACTTTGCATATTACCCAACTGCCCACAGGCCCCCCCACCCCAACCGATTGGGGCAGGCCAGCTGGACCCCACTTGTGCACAAATTCATGCACTGGGCCTCCAGTTAAATATATTTTAAAAACCCTCCTTAGTCATTTGTATAGTTTCTCTTCTGAACTCTCTTGGATTGATTCTCTTTGTCTATTTATCAACTGCAGTGTGATCAGTGGAAGTCTCTTCCATAGGACTATTATAAGGATTAAACAATCTGATCCATAAAAAGCACTTACTTTTGTTATCATTTGCCAGGTACTACACAAATAACTTTGGATGCTTATATGGTTTGATTGTATATCTATTTGAAATTTATTTCAAAATAAAGTAAAAGATGAGGATCTAAATTGATTTGATTTGATTTTTATTTTTTATATAACTACCGTGGCCCAGACTGTTAACTCCTTCCAGTGTGAGTTAATTCTAGATATAATGTCTGTTTCTAATATAGGGCTCATTCTCCCTCTTAGTTGTGGTTGAGCCCATAATCCAGTGAGACTACAATTCCCAACCTTTCATACAGGTAGACAGACAGGGTCATGTAGCCATGCACTTACTCATTTTCAGAACATGAATGGATAGGATAAGTACAACTTCGGTGTCATGTGCTTAATGGGACTGCCCTTCCTCCCCTTCATCACAAGCTGGAATGCAGGTGGGTCAGAAACCTAGTTTCAACCATAAAGAAGAAGGGCAATGTCCCGGGGAATGACAAAGTAACCATGTGGAAGGGACTTAGACCTCTGAATGACCTTGTAGAGTACAGCTGCCTTAAAAGCTTAGACCAACTAAACGTTTACATGGGAAGGAAATAAAACTCAACTTACTGTATTTGAAGGTCCTGTGTGTGCACCTGTATAAAACAAGTTTGTCTTTATTCTAACTAATATAATAAATTTGTTAAGCAAATTTTTCATTTCTCACTCACTTGTGGTACTATCTATACCATGTATTAACACCTACATAAATACATGCACACGCCAGGGTTATTTTTCAGGCTAATATATTCTATCTAGCTGTTTTTCCTAGTTTTATATCACTACCATAATATCTGAGTAACTATATGTTTACAATGAATTTAAATATCTGTTTAAGATAACCTCTCATTATCCATCTCTTCAATATGTTATTGCTCTTCTTTCCAATAGGTTCTTCATGATAAATTTCAAAAACATTCAGAAATGCTAGAAAAAGTTAGAGCACCAAAAATTATACCTCTTGCTATTGTTTTTAAAAGGCATATGTACATCTTATTTCTATTTTGGATATTACCATATAAGAATGACATAAGGAGGAAAAAAATCTAGTTCTAATTTTCATAATTTATTATATACTGTTATAAAGTAAAATTAATACTGTGCCTAACCCACTCTTATCCTTAGTTATTCTTCTTTGTGATGATTAGATTTCACTTGCAAAAAGAAACCCTGAGTAGACCATTTAACAAAAATTACTAAATGACACTGTTCGCTTCAAACAATGTTTGTTTCTCCATGGAATATACCTGAAATTAGAGTTATCAAACCTTTTCCTGACCCCAGAATGGATGCAAGGGATATTGGAGTCCAATTAAATCCAGAAAGTTCCCTGAGCTATTATACGTGCATATTCCTGAGTAATGACTTACAAAGAATCTTAAGATGTGCAAGCCACAGTCAAGAAATATGCTGTTAGCTATTGCTTTTCTCTCAGAAGGAAAAAAAAGAAAATTTTAGAAGTGCTTTTCTCAAAGTTCACTATGGTGGGCTAATTCCATGACTACTCCCAGAAAGGTTTCAACACCACGGCGGGACAAGGGATGTCCTATTTTCAAGGAAATCCCTGGGCATCCGGGGAGAAGGTGTCAAGGCGACTTCCCAACTGAGGGTCAGGCCCCTGGGATGCTGTCATTTAAATCACCCTCTGACCTGGGAAGCCTGATGGAGGAAGAGAAAGGGCCAGATGATTCTCTAGCCTCCAAAAAAGCCAAAAATGCTCCAAAGTCAAATCCTCTGATGTTAGTTGGCAGAGCTATCAGTTTCAAAAGACAAATTCTCTTTAGCTGGAGTAGATACAACGAATACCCGAAGAAAAGCAACAGCCTGCAGATACTTTACAGTTAGCCATGGAGCAGGGCCCAGCAAGTATCACGGGGGTGGGGTGAGGGGCCACAACAGCATGAACTACCTGAGACCCACTACTACCACAGCCTGCTACTGGGAATGGGACACTGGAGGCTTTTTCTTCCAAACTCAGCCTCTACCCCAGCTCTAGCCCTACCTATCCCGGTTATTTCTCAATGAGAACCCCAGCCTGGCCCAGAATGAATGACATCCAACCAGACAGGGTATCAGAAGTCAGTCAGTCAGCAACTACTTAGTGTTTATGTACACTCTCTTGACCTGACAGGGGAGTTCAGATATTTTGGGTTTTGAATCACTGACACTAAATGCAATTGAGAGATTACTT